TCTGTATATTTTTATTTAAATAATATTTTTGACATTGTTTCCACATTTTACTTCTCTGTATCATAGCAACGTTCACTTTTCTCTGATTATGTAAAATTGTTTTATATCTATTTCACCACTAGGCCATCTTTTTCAATATGCTTCTTCTACTTCTTCTAAAGGAATGGCCTCCAGCCTTATGTTATAGAACAATTATTATGGTTTATGTGACAATAAAATTTACGAAGGAACGTATAAAGAACTTTGTATTCTGTCACAGTTTATTCCATACGGCAGAATATCGTTGCCCTATTCCTCATTAATGGTTTAATAACAAATTTAGTTGCCCTTTCATTATGGATTCTGTTAATCTACTTTTACCTACTACGATAATTAAAGAATGCTTTTATTTTGCTGTACACGATCTCTTGAAGGTCAGTCTCTCAGATTTGTTTCTGCTGTTAATGTCATTTGGAAAGACATTGACATTTTTAACGAAAAGCTTATTTGCTCAGTGACGTGTTATTTCATCCGTAGACCTTGTTTTACTCTCATTGTTGTCTCTTATAAATTATGTTAGAGCCGGGTTTGTCAATTGTCGTCAGGCACAACGCATTGATTTAATTGACTTGCCACTGTAACTGTCAATGTCAATGCCGTCACATGATTAGACAGAAAAAGATACGCTAAAAAGTCTGTTTGAAGGATTTGCTAGATAAAGGAAGACTCAAGAAAACTGTGTTGATGGAATGAGTGCCGAATGCAGCATAGAAGTTTGAATATGAAGGCCAAAGAGGAAAACCGAACGAACTGCGAGTCCAGTTGGCTAAACCGTGAAGTCGGTAGGTAGCGGGCGGGGTTCGGAGCAGTTGCGTCTTTTTTGTATACGATTTCCCAGAATTTGTACAGGGAGACTTGGGACAGATAGTCGAGTCCAGGAAGAGACGCATTCAGCGAATACTCACCAGGGCGGTGCTTGTTGGTGGTGTTGAACACCTGCATGATGTCGTACTTGGTTTCCTCCACCACCACGTACAGCCATTCACACAGGTTAGTGGCGATCATGTGCATCAGGCCGAACCGCGCCACCACTCTGTAGCTGTATTCCTCCACCAGCTGCAAAATAGAGCCGTCTTTCGCAAATTGGCAGTCACTTAGCAAGACAACAAGTTTCCTCTAGTTTCATCACCATTTTTAAAGGAGTCTGCTACTAGGCCGTGCAATGAGTCAATTGGAATCTAGTTCTCTAAGATGCAATTTAACCTCCGAAGTAGAATTCTTCCTCCCTCAAGACCATACATTTTTCTGTCGTCCGATGTGTGTTACATGCCCCGTTACGCCCACCCTACGTTTTGATCGCCCTAAGAATATTGTGTGAAAAATACATATTTTAAGGTTATTTTCTGTGAAATGTATAATTTTATAGTATACGAATTTTAGATGTTCGAGTCACTTCAGTGACTAAATAATTTTTCTGTCTCCTGTCTGAGATTTTAATTCTGAGACCGGACGAGTGGTGGGGAAGAGTGCTCTGGGACCAGTCGCTGTCCCCCTCCGCGTTACATAACCCTAGATCCCTAGTAGACGGTTAAGAGTGACATCTTTCACATGCCCTCGTGCATAAATTCTGCTTGCTCATTGTCGGTGATATGACATCACTTCTATTTTGACACGATATAAAGGCCTACATTTTATGTAGTAATTTAAACACACTTGGGTGCTCTGTGCTGAGGCTGTGCAAAGAAATGTCCTGGACCGAACCCTACCACGTCTTCCTGGAGGTCCTACACCTCCCACTCTAGTGTTCTCTGCTTTTTTCTTCCCAGCCGTCTGGCCATTAATAGGATTGCTGATAGTGATAACCAATGCAATCGCCCATAGCGGTGTGAGGGGAATACTACGCCGTTATCCCCACCACCCATGGGACTTGTTCGTGCGGCCTCTTATAAACTCTTCCTATCATCTTACATCGGAATGCCCATTGTCGTTTAATAGGTCCGCGAATTACAAAACGTCTGGGCACGGCTTTTATTGTCTGCCACTCCTAAAACAGACTGAAATAATTTCTGTTTAAGGGCTATGGAGGTAACAGAAATTTCTACCTTGCCCATTGCCCATTGCGTAGTCTTCTGGTGCAGCAACACGTAGAAAAATATAAATTATCAGACGTTCTCGAGGAACCTGCTGCCCCCATCCGAGTTGACATATTAAGGCGGAAATGTGTGAATTTATTAATACAGTGATTGCTAATCATCATCTGTCTCAATGAAGCAATCCTCATGCTTCTAGCGAATCAGCAAGTGAATTACAAGTTTTGAACATCGGTTATGGCCACCCATCAAACTGTGTCCAACACCTTGTTGCCGGAACTCGTACCTTGTTGTTGTCGGAGAATATGAAGATCATCTGCATGATAATGAAGGCGGCCTGGGCTAGTGGCGTGATGGCCACCAGAATGTCGTCGCACTTGGAGGTGCTGCGAAGTTCGAAGTACATCCCGAAGTGAAGCACGGCGTGGATCATGGCGCCCACACCGAAACCTGCAGATGAACCGGTGCTATATTTCCCTGCACTTGAAAGCCCCCCCCCCCTCCCCTATCACACAAATTTTAACAACGGGTTATCACGAACTTTGGTGCCACTGTCATGACACTGAAGGCCATCTCACCCTTAAAGTTTTTCAATTTCCTACCATTAATTGTAGCAACAGACGTGCAAACTTTTAGGTAGTAGAAATATTAACAGAATATATTTTAAGGTCTAGAAATGTTGTAATTTTGTGAAAATTTTCACACGTCAAATTTATACTTGGCTTTTAAATACCGGTACATTTTTATCCTTTGGAATTCTAAAAAATTGCCATGTGGACAGCGATTGATTTCGATGTTTCTTTTTTTAAAATTTCCAGCGTGACCTTATAAAATAAATTCTATTACCGTTGAATACTAAATACAGTAGACAATTCAGTTTTTGAAGACTGAATTAAATCTCCTCCACAACATAGTAAAGGGGGTGAAAATAAATTTAGTCTGTAGGTACACTTAACTGGATAGCAGTACAGTACTCAAATTAGCCGCTATTCGGGAAGGTTCCCCGAAGATACTTAGTACTATTTCAGTAAAGTTTAAGGTTTACATGCGTCATGTTTGTGTTTTTGATTAAAATATATAATAAAATTCAGGTCAATACAATTTAAAATTTTAAATTTTAACATTTAAATTTTAAATTTTAACATCCAAATAAAGTTTTGTGTATTGACCTGAATTTTATTATATATTTTATTCAGTAAAGTTGTACGTACTGATTCAGTGTTATTGCCTTAATGTCACAGGACAATAATTAATGGTCAGATGAGATAAGTCGTTTAGATTTCAAGTCCTTTGTCACAGCAATCGGTCTATTGGCAACCGGGTTTCATAATTAAATTCGATATTATTTCTATGTCTATGCCTTCTTCGTAAATATCGTGAGCGAAATAGTGTTTTCTCCTTACCAGCGACACCCATCCTGAGATAGAAGCTGCCATAACGGATTTGTTGCTCTTGGCCTGATCCAGCTCCCTTCAGTCCTGTAATGTAGAAGGAGTTTATGTAATATTATTGCTCTTACCTTGAAACACGGTCTACTTACTTTTTATGGCCTTAAAATGTGCACCCGTACATTTCCAGTGCCTTATCGGCTTTATGTCACTGTTGGGTACATAATTCGAAGATGACTGTTAATAGATCGTCGGTGGACTAAAATTAGGGATTTCGGATCAAGTGTTTTCCGTTATATTTCTATTCCCTCATATTTGACAACGTCGAAACATTTTAAAACATGATGCAGACTTGTATCAGTTGTTTCAATCCCATATTATATTAAAAATAGTCCACGTATTCCTACGTTCAACTTTGTCAGGTGGGTAGAGAGTAGTTAATATGGACCTGCTTGTAAGTCACAACGGAACTGTCCCTCGGTAATGTAACAGAGAGATCAAGAGCCGAAGTTTGATTTATGATAAAGACAGTTTTGTTTCTGTGAGAAAAAGTTGGAGAACACTGTTTTAATATAACGTTGTCACTTCTTCGGCTGGGATTAGGGAAAGTAAATATAGTTGTCAGAATTCATTAAATGTTTTGGAGATGAAACAATCGGACAGTGAAAGCGTCGTCATTTCCCTTGCGTTTAATCTTATCATGTAATAGTTTCTAAAATCTGGTTGAAAAGACTCACTGCTGGACATCTCGAAGGCTGACGTCTTCCTGCTAACACTTAGAACGACCTCTTCCTTCATGACACCCGCGTACATGTAGCACAGGAAAAAGAGGCTGCCCAGGTACAGGTATAGGTAGAAACCCTGAAACCCGTGGACAAAGAAGAATTGAAAGGCGGCCAGTTCATTCTCTCATTTATTTAAAGGTATATGTCTGTACTGAGGCTATGAGGAAGCATACCCTGTTGGTCCAGATATTAATTTGTTTAAGAGAGGAAGGGCGGGGGTGAAATATACTTATCAATAATTTATCAATGCAAATGAAAAGTAAAATTTTCTAGGGATGTTCGGCAGAAATTTAAAAAAAAAAACTTTTAACATTATACCAATACGAAGCAAAATTAAAGTTGGTGAATAACTCTTAATCAAACTCGGTTTAGTAGTGTCGGAGATTAATCTCTTCTATCGTCTCAAATCTCCTTCCCTTTAGCTGAATTTTCATCTTTGGGAAGAGGAAGAAGTCACACGGAGCTAAGGGGGGTGCGGGATGACGGCCATGGTGTTTGAGGCCAAAAACTGCTGAACTTTGAGGGCGGTGTGCGCTGGCGCGTTGTCTTGATGCGTCGCATGTGGAGTTCTTCCTTTAGAATCAGCTGACAGGTCCCAACAATGTCGCACAAGTCGTTGATGGTACGACGTCGATCTTCTTGAATGGCCTGCCGAATCTTCGTAACGTTTTCGGGCGTTGTGCTCGAAGATGGTCGTCCAGAATGCTCGTCATCATCGACAGGGGTTCGGCCATTTTTAAAACGTGAATGCCCCACAAAAGTTTGTGCACGACCCATTTCGAAGTATTTCCCCAAATGCTTGCTTTAGCATTTCATAGGTTTCCGTAGCCGTTTTGGCGAGTCTTTGGCAAAATTTGATGCACACGCCATTCCGAAATCGCAGGAGGGTCGGTGTAATGCACTACCAAAACGCCCGTAACTAAGAAAGAAATGATAATTCGATGATGCCGGCTGGCACACTGATTCACTATGAATGTAGGCCGCACCCCCTAGCGGCAGAAGCTCGTACTACATCCGGTTCGCCCTCTATTGACACAGTTTGGAAACTTTCCGATCGCACCTCGTATGCTGGTGTACGCACCAAGTACATATTTGGAGCAGTTTGGTTCATTTATGTATAGATAGATTTGAACCAGAACTATAAGTGTAAGTCGACATTAGACATATAACAAATGATTACGAAAGTTTCTTAGATATGTTAATTAAACACGGCTCCAGAACAAGAATGAGAAGAAACAAAATTTTCTTTTATAAAATATATGATCACAATAACAGTACCTATTACTTTAATATATTTATGGACCATATCCTATAAGGAGAAACATATGTTGACATTATTAAATATATATGCAGCCTAATAACCTTCCTGATTCCTTAAATGGTCCTTACATCAGTATTAAGAACAAACATTGGTGAGTCTTGTTAAAATATGGCCACAGTAATATTAGATGACTTAAATAACCCATAGTTCGAGAAAGAGAGATAAGTCGAACTTATAAGTCAAGGCCCCAGTGATATTTGATCGTAGCTGGATGTCGATGGATGTAATTATCGTGAAAAATGACGGCATTCCCACTTAAGAACAAACAGTTGTGTAGAGACAAGCATGCAAGTTTCTACTCACATCATATGTTGTCGCGGTGCTTTCTGGGATAATAGCTGCGGTGACGGGCAGAGCCAAACCCAGGACCACCAGAAGTTTGCCGTAGAAAGCTGAGAGAGTCGCAGTCAGGATGTCGCTGCAACACGCATTACGTTGCATTGGTGCGTGGCGTTCACACGGATTTTAAGACGACTTTCATTCACTGGTACATGCAAACCAAAATTCTCTCGTGTCTCGTGGTGTGAAATATTTTCCTTGACACGATGCTTAGCCAAAATTATGAAATGTTTCATCGAAAGGAAATTACACTTAAGGACTTTTATGGTTGCATAATTGTGGGCAGATCGACTGTGGGGCTCACTCACCCTCCTATGTAATGGGTACTGCGAGCACTCTCCCCGAGGGTATGTCGGCCGTAGCGTGAATCTGATCACATTCCTGGAGGTCTGAAACGAGTGCAGCTCCGTCCCGTTGCTCATACAGGTTTTAACGGCTTATTTCTTAACGACAAAGACAACTTCACCTTACTTTATACAAGGAAAATCGGAAATGAGACTGTAGCGGAATGTTTAATTTACAAAGAGAGCGGTTGTTTTATAAAGTCGTAAATGGAAGGTCAGTGTTAAAATGAAAGTTAAACAAATGGAAGGTGTAGGTATGAAGTGAGCTTAATACGTTAATTAATTAATTTGTCGGTTTGTTTGTGAGTTAGTCTGAATAAAAAAGAATTTCTCCATGCAGTAAGGCACGTACTCTGATCTGTTGGTCCAACTTTTTTTCCTGCAGTGTTCTGTCTGTAGCGGCTGCTGCTGCTGGTCCTTTCCGCTTTTCTCTGGCTCCTCCTGGAGGGTCGCCAGACGCGTCTCCCTCGAAGACACGTACGGCCTGCGAATCCCCACATTAATTACGGATGCTGGATTAGTTCTTAGATCTTTTAATTGCAGACATTATAAGGTCGAACGGTAGAGAGATTGTGGCTGAGTTTTAACTAAGTGTGATAGGAGGCGGACATGTCCTATTTTAATGTAGTGTTTTAGAATTTTCAAGGAACTAAGGAGAACCGCGCAAAGCCTTATTCGGAATAACAGGTCTTGAGACAGATTAAAACCTGGAACATCTAGAATACGGGGCAGGAATGTTAACCATAAGGATGACTGTCTTCTGGGATATTACGCCGTATAGTCTGAAAGAAATTGACTGTCGTTTCAGAGGTACTTAATACCTCCATCTTCAGGACGTCGAGTGAAACGCTCTTTCTTAAGGAAGAAAGTATGCTTATCACGCCAATACGCTGTATCTGCAGTCCCCAATTTCGACTTTTAACTATTTCACCGATTTTCACGAAACTTGGTGACCACGTTATGTCGTTGGAGGTAACATGACTTGTACTTTCTTGTTTCCTACAATCGGCATTAACAACATGGCCGACACGCGAACGTATGTGGATGTGTGTTAGGACCAACACTAGAGTTCTTAAATGTTGTTCCGTAGTAGGTTATTGAAAAATACGCAACTTTTATCTAGGCAATTTTTTATGTAGACTGTAAACCAAGAACATGGTTTACTTTCGAAAATCGTCGTTAACTTTCGGATTTACTACGACAGCTAATAAATAATTGGACCTAGGTATGTTACATTTGGCACAGAGATAGACTAAAAACAACATCTACAAAATGAACAAAGAATATTGCTTGTATTTGAATAATTAGAAGTACAACGACGGTACAAGGTTTTCATGTATATGTAAGTCTATATAAATAACAATTTCTTTCGGAAAGTATAAGAATAAATTATAATTCATTCTAATAATAGTAGTAACATTGTATATTACATTTACAGCTTCTTACAATATTTAAAATGTTACTCTAGATTTATTCAATCATGAGTACGTCCATTTGCACAAGGGTCCACAACGCTGTTACATGAATTGCATTACATTACGTTTTCCAGATATTATGAAATTAATAACATAAAACCTGTATTGCTAGGGATTTGTACAATAGGAAATTATTATTTATGAGATCTATCCGAGCTCCTTGTTAAATAATTATTTTAGTATTTATTTTCTGTGCTTGTTAACCTCATTTTTAGAGGTAAACAATTTTTAAAGCAAAAATCACGGAGGGAAACTCCAAAGGGAATCCTGATTCCGAGTCCGAGTCTATTTTTGTCACAATAACCATTTTATTTGTGTTCATGGGGTTATAACTAACTTCAAGGAACACAGTACCTCGGTCAGCTAGTCATGTAATTCCCCACCTTTTATGGAACCCGAAAATTCATTGCCGTGTTTACAAGAGCACGCTACTGAATCTTATCCTGCGCCAGATGAATCCAAAGGACCCGGTCAAAGTCCAAGGCCCTCCCATTTCCTTAGTATCCACATTATTCCCCATAAATATCGATTACCCCAACTTTAATTTTTCCATCTGTTCATAAATTACCTCTGTGCGCTGTCCTTGTCACACCCTTCCAGGTTTTTATAACAAATTAGTTATGTTAGCGACCCCTGCATCTCCAAAGTTCGTATGTTTGATTAATTTTCAACTGGATTGTTTAAATAGTGTCAAATGAATGGTTGTAGGAAACGAATTTGAAGTCTGTTGAAATACGCGATGGTGGTGTATTCTGATGTAGTCATATTATTCCATTATTTGCTTGGGAATTTTAAGTCTACGAGAAATCTTGTCAGTATCATCATTCACTGCCCCTAGATTCTGACCTGAACGATCCCAAATATGAAGCAGGATTGCTGAGATTCCAGTTTCTCACGGCGATGAATATGAATAAGGTTGTCTTCTGGGATGTTGTATCGAACAGTATCGAAGACATACCGTTGTTTCAGAGGAGCTTACCTCCTACGTCATCAGGGCGATGATGACGATGAAGGCAGTAGACTCCTTTGAAACATCGGTCGGTCGGTATACCTATCTACCAGACTACACGGCACAACATCCCAAAAGACAGCCATCTTTATGAATCGGGATTGGTAAGGTGGTATTCTGTTCTTATATCATGGCCTTAACCTGGTAAGGTATTCGCATATTGTCTGTCTGGATCCGATTGTACTTTGCCACTCTGATAATACTGACTCTAATGTCGTTTATTCACACCTTTATAATTACTTCACAAGGCCATTTTCCGACGCTTGGTACTTGGTGGCTTATTAGTGGAGTTTATACTAGAATCATACAATTTACAGTAGATTACATTCTATTACAGTCTGAGGCCGTTTGAGAACGAAGTGCTGAGAAGAACATTTTGTCCAAAAAGAAATGAACTCGCACCAATGTCTTGCATTAAATAAAATATAAATTATTTTCTTGTGGTTTAAGTATCACTGTTTTACGACAAACACATGGACTAATTTTACGAAGCAGGATATTTATTTTTACGGAAACCAAAACTTGTTCAAAAGAGCCGTCCATTGGACTATACACTCAGTTAAACCCAATCCCCACATTCAAGCACTTTTGTAGATCTATTTTAACAAATAGAATTAATCTTTCACACGCGCTTTTGCCTCCCTCGTGGACAAATCCCTTAGGATTTTTTGGCCAAAAATGCTTACGTTTTTTTTTACTTTTCCGATGCGTACTAAATGTCACACCCACCTCAACTTCCTTGAAGTAATTTTCCTTATGTGCGGAGAAATAAAATTTTGGCATTTCCGGGATTGGAAGTCATCAGTTAGAAGAAAGTTTTAAATGGGCCCATACACTCTGCTTGGAATTCTGAAAAGACTTGCCGAATTTCTTTATACATAAATACTTTTCGATATCGATTTCGATTTTAGAAAATGACGCCAGTATACTCGCGTTTACACATGGTCTTATCACCATTAGTAATATTAGTACTTATTGAAGTATGTGTTTTCTTCAGTCTTAATGTACATAAGAGCGTTCTTCTTATGGTGTTGCACATTATGTGAAATTTACTAGGTTTTATGTGTTTGTCTTTGTTATATTTGCATGTCACGCCACAGTCCAACTCCATACTTGTTGTCACCAGTTACGATGCTACGTCCTACGTAATTCTGCGTGCATAATGTCCCCAAAAGTACTTTCAGTGCGAGAAAGTAACTGAAAGTTCTGTTGACACATGCAAATTTGCTAAGATCTAATTGAAGACAAACACGAAGAAGCAATCTAATAAATTCAAATATACAAATACAGCAAACAATATGGAGGAGAAGGAATAACACTGAGATAGAGACAGGAAAGTGTGATTCGATCATGAACCAAATTTAAATCTGTGTACTCCGACTCAGAATACGCAATTTCTAACTGCGCTAATTGTTGTCTCATATTGTTAATGAGGCCTTGGAATTTATTCTTTTCAGATCTGTGGAAATGTTATACTTCGTTTCTGGTAGCTGTCGGTCTCCGGATCCCCGCTCGGAATGTGAGAGATTTTTCTATATTCAGTTTTAGCCCTTTGATCAAAAACAGTCCTTCTGCTAGATGCGCATCAGCTGCTAATATCGTCTGCAGGAACTTGGACATATTCGAGACGAAAACTGTCACACTTCTTCACATTCTATAATAGTATAATTTACTTAATTGATTTAAATTATTTTTACAAATATGCTAATATGTTATGTAATAAGTTACAATTTTCTTGTGTATTAACGTCCCCCGTACTAATGTATTTTATATTCTGCTTGTTCTACCTTTTATGTTCTTATTGTGTTCGTGTGGTCATCTCTATGCTGTATCCGTAATTGGCCTTCTGACTGTTGATACAGCACACTAATAATAAAGAATTGAACTGAAATTGCCACTTTCCAAAAGGCAGCCTCTTCAAAATTTTGCACGTCTCCCCTATCCGAACTTCATTTGCCGCCCATTTTGATCGATTCAGTTTCCTTCTCCTACGAATTCTGTACGACTTGTATGAATCACGAAATTTCCCGTTGTGTCTAATATTGTAACGTTCCCACTTCTACCAGATCTACTGTGTTCGGTATTTGAAAAGTCATAATTTATGTATCTTACACGTATGAAACAAAATAGCATACTGATAGAAACTCAAAGGCATGTTCTGTTCAATCCGTTATACTCTTCGATGGAGGAAAATTTTCAGAAGAAATATATTCATATTTAATTTCCAGTAGAAAATATTGCACAGTTCATTTTAATATATTAAAATGTAAAGAAATAGTCAAAATAAGCTACTGCGTGTAGTAGTAACTACCGCGCATTTGATTTCGTTCTTACTCTTAAGAAATATTTGACGGTGCTAACCTGCCACTTAAACCCCATCGTGAACCGGTTAAATCTAGCACACACATTCACACCTTACTGATATAAGATCAACTTTAATAAAGTTTTGCAGACTACACTTTTCTTCTCTGTTGTCTCTTTTCTTGAGATTTTCTGATTAAAATGTAAGCATTTCTCACATTCTGTATACCAGGTTTATCATATTCCGTATTTTAATTAATGTAGCTGATACGAAATAAATAAATAGAAAACACAACTTTAGTCGGACAAAGTTAATGGAAAATACCACGTGAAACGCCTAGGATCATATCGGGGAGCAATATTAATATAGATATCAGAAAATATCGTAAATATTTGGGTTGAATTCATCTGGTTCAGAAGAGGGTAGCGTGGAGAGCTGTAATGAACACAGTATTGGAACACAGGATTTGTCTAAGGCGATTCCTTGAGCACCTGTTAAATTAACAACTTCTCAAGAATAACTTTGTTTTGTGGAGTTAGTTCTCTCGAAATAAGTAAAGTTGACGTACCTGAGTGAATCGTGTGGTACCAGCTCCATACTACTTGTCTTGACAAACTGTTGCAGGTCTTAGGACTGTGTTGAAGCGCACATTAATTTGTTTAGCGCCTCATTATCGGCTGTGCAGAACGTCTTTTGCGCACATGTAAAGTAGTGCGCGGACTATATGTAAACCAAGTACCACAATACATAAGTTACTCGCGAAAATCTTGCAGAACAAGATGATCGGAAGGTCACGCAAGCCATTGCTGACAAATATTCTGTTTTCTTAAATATAATACACTGATATCAGTAAACAAGAAGCAATGTTATGTTAGATGATGGAAATATCCACCGCGTTTAGCACTCATATCCTCTTGTATGATACAACCGGGTGAAGAGTGTAATGCACAGCTCGTTATTTTGTTTCAATTCACCTAATGTGGGCGGGTTGTTTTTACACGTGTTCTTCGTCAAAACCCCCCAAAATATAAATCCATTGGCGTTAGATCCGGGGATCGTCAATGCACGTCTACTGCAAAAAGACAAATGACGAAATGGTGCGGGGAGGGCTCTTGTATAGTTACAGCAGTATTGCGTGTTTATTAATAAAATCGAATTGTGTTGAATTGCAACAATCCATAAATATTTTAATATGAGTTGTGTGACTTTTTGAACAATCTCTAGTAAATACATAAAACCAACATGAATTTAAAGTGAGACTTATATCATATTTACACCAAAATCTCTTTCTCTGACTGCACACACTTCGAATTCTTGCACCATCTTACAGGTTGACACACAACAGTGCCAGAAAATTGGACATGCAGCACCTGATTCCGCTCAATCAATTCTTTAACCCTCTCCAACACCAAGTTCATCTAAACAAGACTGGAAAGAAATACAGAGTTCTGAATTCTGAATGATCCTAGCTAAAGTAAAATAACCGTGTTATACACACAGCCTACGCAAATAATACCTTCGGTGTCGTTCACATTTGCTTAACTTCAGACTGCAGGCGAAGTAAAAGCTTAAGAATGTCCCTTCAACGTAAGATTTAGTCATTGCCTGTTTATCTTACTAACAGAAGAACTCAGCGAATTTCTATTTGATGTAGGCCTATACTTTCCATAGCTTTTACCTAAATACACGAACATACGTTTCAAGTATTGTTTTCATTCTTGTCTGATAATCAAATTGTTTATCGGAAACTGATTGTTGAAAGGACAGCGTAGATTCAGACGGCTCTGACTTTTTAATACGAAATGACATATGTTTAAATATCTCTTAACCTGTTCGTTTTTTAAATAATGATGATTAATGAAAAATAGCTTTATTTATCTGACTTTGACAACTTTAATTTCGAACAATAAAAAGTATGTGTTATATCGTTTTATGTAAATCTTATTACCTGTCAGCTTAGTGCTCACGCACTGGACTCGTGTTTATGTGTTTGTTGGATCGAATCCTGATGAAATCAATTAGTTTTTGTTTCGTGCGTTTTCAATGTTATTGTTTAACATTATGCAAAGAATTAATATACCAAAGTTGCGAAAATCTATTGCCTTACACGACCCTGTTGTAAGTTGTGGTAAACTCGATTCCATCGTTTGTCTGCCATGCTGTTTTCACTGACTGCAGGGAATTACAAAAATATTTTGTAGTGGACCCTAATGGTGTGAAGACAACAAAAATTTAACCGAAATCCATTCAGCGGTTTTGGAGCTAAATTATGCGGGCAGACGGAAGGACAGACAGCCATAGTCAGCACTTTTTACGTTCATTTCCTGCACATCATGCGAATTGCAAATAACAATATTAAAAATTCAGGTCTTACGACAAATGGAAAGGAACAAATCTCCATTATAATGCTCAATTAGTTTATGTTTGTTTTGGAAATAATCGATGTTTATTCTGAGAATAAAAGGTAACTCATAAATTTTCTGTGTTGACAAATGCTGAATTCCTTGATGTAAAAGCATGTACGAGGTGCGTAGTTATGGGCGTTTTGGTAGTGCATTACACCGACCCTCCTGCGCTTTCGGAATGGCGTGTGCATCAAATTTTGCCAAAGACTCGCCAAAACGGCTACGGAAACCTATGAAATGCTAAAGCAAGCATTTGGGGAGTCCTCAATGGGTCGTGCACAAACTTTTGTGTGGCATTCACGTTTTAAAAATGGCCGAACCTCTGTCGATGATGATGACGAGCGTTCTGGCCGACCATCTTCGAGCACAACGCCCGAAACTGTTACGAAGATCGACGTCGTACCATCAACGATTTGTGCGACATTGTTGGGATAGGCTATGGGACCTGTTAGCTGATTCTAAAGGAAGAACTCCACATGCGACGCATCCTGTCAGAGGACTAGAAGCAGAATCGACTTCTCGTTTGTCAGGAGTTTAAAGATCTTGCAAGAACCGACCCCAGCTTCCTTTCTAAGCTCCGTGTGACTTCTTCCTCTTCCCAAAGATGAAATTCAGCTAAAGGGAAGGAGATTTGAGACGATAGAAGAGATTCAGGCAGAATCGCAGATGGTGCTTGACAGGCTGACAAAGAAAGATTTCCAGGGATGCTTCCAGGCTTGGCAGCGGCGCTGGGATCGTTGTGTTCACTCCCAGGGAACTACTTCGAGGGTGATGGATGAATTTAATACCTGAGATAAGTGTACGGGTTTTTATAGGCGCAGTCTAGAAACTTTCCGATCGCACCTCGTATTACTTACATACAGGCACCATTGTACTTTAAAGGGCTAAAATATTTCTTCATATGCACTGACTCGTTTATATTACCTCCTCCTGTGATAGAGAAATGTGAATTTTTGCGATAATAATTTTTATTTTTATCGTTTGGTAGTTTGGGTAGCTGTGTCGAAGCGGAAATTTAACTGCAGAATACAAAAAAAGTTTCTCTTTTTTAATTATTATTATATCATTGAGGATGTAAGCATGTGAGCTATTCTAGAGGATACAACAGTGCATTGCCAGAACATTTTAGTCCAGTGACATAATTTTTTCACAGAAGACTGAATGAGAAAATACAAAGCAGAATTTTATTTATTTGAGACAAAAGCAAATTTTGTGTTAAAGTGAAATGTAGTTTTATTTATAGTTTTAAGAATTCATCACCATTTAAAACTGAAAGGTCCTATAACCAATAGTGCCTCTGTCGCAATCTGCTCACAAGTTCTCGTGAACTATTAATACAAGAATTTATATTCCTTCCTTCTGTCAGTTTATGAAGCAACTATAATCACTGTGTTCTTGAACTTTCCTTTCGACGTCGTCAAGTCGTCGTCGAATGAATCAATCGATTTGACCATCTGTGTTAAAGATCCAGAAAAACAAAGAGAAGACACGTACCAGGAGTCGTTTGTGTATTTTATAAACTGATAAACGTGCCAATTAAATAACATTGCCAAACTGCTTAGCGCTGTCAAAGTGTATGCTTTTACCTACATTTCGTAAGGCTACCGATACTTACATCAGCTGAAGGAAGGAAGAAATCTAAAAGTGCGTACTTCAGTTTCTGCCGTTCATTTTCTAGGTGTGTGATTTTCAATCTTTTTCACCTTGTTAATTTACATTACATGTCTACTTTCTTTATTTTGTAAGACAAGTAAAAAGTACTCATGAAAATATTTACGTCTGAGAAGAACGAGGAAAACGAACAATTTTTTATATTACATAAAGAGACAACGATTAGCTAGACACCAGACTAGAATGGTGGAAGTAAGAAATACATATAGAATTTTGATGGAGAAACCTCATTTCACTTTACTCCAATCACCTCACTCCTGGTACACTTGAATTAATAGGAAGCAGGTGGGAGGATAAGATTAAGACGGATCTTAGGAGCGTAGGCTTAAAAAGATAGATAGATAAAACAGGCTCAAAATTCTACCTTATTAATGGGGTTCTTCTGCCAGAGGACTGGTTAGGTTCGGCTTGTGATACTATCATGTCAGTATGCCTTTTTCAAGTAATAACTTCTGAAAACATTGGCAGATTTTGTGAAGCTCATTACGATTATCTGACCACAACACGACTCTAACATTTGCACTGTAATATTTGCTACTGATGATAAAAACATGTCAGTCATGTGAACGTGAGGCTATGAAGTTCTGTGGGGTAATAGGTCTTCGGAAAATGTACATTTTTTATTGAGGTAACGTTTAAGTGTAAAGTGAAGTATCATGAATATTTCTTTACATTTAAAATTTAATTGTTGTAACTATTTAATTGTTTAAATGCATATGGACCATAAATTTAGATACATATTTTCTTATGGCAAACGCTGTGCTCAGAAATGACTCACTGAAGGATGTAATCCTATACTGAAGTAATTAAGGGAAAGAAACTATAACAAGTTCTATCCATAACTTCCTGTTTCTTCTGTGAATCGTTTTTAAAACGTGCCACGTATTCCACCTTTCTGGTCATTCTTGATTTAATCAGCTTTGAGATAAGAAGATCACAAATTACTAAGCGCGTTATTATATAATTTTGTCGGGTTCTTCTAAAGTTAAAGTTTTTTCCTCAAAGATTTTCTCTCACTTTTACGTAACCTTTGTTCTTTTCTGATAATAAAAGGTTATGTTTCCCACCTGCTTAAAAGTAAATGTTGTTTTATTATCTGGCATATTTTACTCATTACATGTTTTGAGGGCTGGCTGGGAAAAGAATATTAAGGTACAAATTGTAGCAATTATATCCCGAAATAATTTGTCCTTGATTTTACATCACGTATAAGAGCATCAGTAAATAATCTAAGCATCTTCCTTCATGAATCTGATTGCCTGCAAGGAACAGTGTTATGCAGAGTGTTAATCTGCTTAGAAACATGACTGCAGTCTCTGCAAGAATTTTGGTTGTTTCTTGGAACCCTCAGGTAGCAATATCAAAATTGCTTCATAATGCTCCTCTCGACTCAAACAAGTTTATACGTGAAGGAAATCGGCTTTGCAGATTCAGAGGTCTTTGTAGGGAGAACCTGGCTTCATGCATGTGCATTAGTAAATTGTCTGTATAGTCTGCATTCACAAGATAACAGATACTACTGCAATATGACACGTGATGATTGCAATTAGGTTTACTACACATAGTGT